TTATTAATCCTGGTGATGAGAGTCTTGAATAGAATTTCAGTAAGAAAATTAAACACTGATAAAGCCTTTTTTTTTCTTAAGTATACCTCTTTCTTCAGAAAATGTCTATTTTTTCTCTGTAGAAATTCTGCAATAACCACAGCCAAATCATCTTCATTATTTCTACCAAGAGCAGAGTTCTTGGGCGTATTGAGGTTTGTTTTAACTGGATATCATACTCTTGCCTGTCTCCCTTTCCTCTTCTCATGCAACTAGTTCAACAGAGGAAAAATATCAAGCGTCACAAAAATACAAATCCACCAGGTTGGTCCTGGTGAAGCTTCATATATGGATGGGAAATAAAGTGATCAGATCAGCCTCAAAAATTCTGCATCACAGCTCCCACACATAGAGCTCACAGGGATGCCCACTCACACAGCCTATCTAAAGAGGACAGAACAAAGGACAGGTCACTGTCATACTCATGCAAAGGCACTGGGCAGAGGACAAGAAACATGGTCCTGTTCAAAACTCCATAGTCGACAAGCTGTATGTACACCATGCTGGAATTCAGGATTTTGTTGTTCAATAAACTGATTCCTCTAGGATAGCTCCATAACTGTCTAATATAAGGGAGGAAACCATTATGAACTTAATTTTGAATTTAATCACAGGTGTACATTAATGATGCAGCACAATTTCCAAAAAGTAAAAATTGAACATACTGATTCAAGTATCAGTTTCATTTAAATTCTTTGGTCTTTGATATCTTCAGTTTTCAATGACCTTTTAAAAACAGTGGCCAAAGCTCAAATCTAAATAAACATTAGAAAGAATCAATTAAGCCTCTAAGCCATTCTGTGTAACTAACAGTTAAGTTCCCAAACTATTTAACCAACTAATTAGTAAAAAGCATAATAAACAGCCTTTCAAATCTAAAGTATCTTTTATTCTTTTATTCTATCATATTAGATCAATCAAAATGTAATGTAAAAACTTTGAATATATAACCCCACAAGAAAGAAGGAAAATTGACTAGGTGAATAGTAATGTCATATATTAGAAAGATGTGTTATCAAAAACATGTATATACAGGTTAAAGAGACTGTGTCAGCACTCAAGAAATGTCTTAAAATTAACTATATAAGCATTAATTAAAGTTAATTATTAAAACATTAATTACGTATTATAGAGCATAACCAAATAAATATGTAATCAATGTTTTAAACTCTTGAATGCCTATTTCTATGACCGTTTTACTAATACGCAAGCCAAACCAGAAAGGATAACTACCAAACCCCTATACCAAGCCATATACAGCCCAGTTTTCTGAATTCTATAGTTAAGTGTCTATATCTCAAGCACATGTCTCTCAGTTTAGAGACACGGAGGCTCCCTAAAAACCCTTCACAGTTCATATAAGAAAGTGAAAATCAAAATCAACAAAAAACTATGAACCAGAGACACTTTTTGGGGGGCGGGGGTGGGAGGGGAGGGATTGGGGTCAGAATGGGGGGGCTGCAATTGTATGGGGAATATAAAAATAAAATTTATTATTTAAAAAAAAAACCCTTCACAGTTCATGTAAGGATCAGGCATTTGATACAGTGCTACCATATACTTTCCCCACTCCAGTTGCTCTCAATATATTTGCCAGCAATGAGGCCCAGTTGCATATATGATATAAGGCTACAGTGTGATGAATGGTAAGGGGCAAGGGGAGGAGGGAGAGGAGAAAGAAGATAGAAAACATAAATTTCTTCTTTATAAACTCTATATAGTACCAAAAAAATTTAATAAAAATTTTAAAATTCTATATGGCACAAAAGTTAGCACCCTAAGCATCAAAGAAGCTTCTGCTCACCAGGGCACATGAAAGGCCGCAGGGATAGGTGGATACTGGACAACAACTCCTAATCTAGACCTAACTCAGAAAAGATGCTCTGAGATTTTGCAATGCCATCAAGAAACCATGGAAATAGTCAGCTTGTGTCTTTTGACATGTGCTCCTACAGAATGACACTGCATCTACAAGCTGGCGTGCCTTAAATAGAGGGCGTGGCCTGAAGCCCAGGTCATGGCACAGATGTAATCCCAGCAGGCATCTGGGCCTCCATACAGCTCTAACAGAAAGCCACAGCAAAGTGACCTCACAGGTGGGCCTCCTTGGTGGTGCAAGGGGTTAAGAAGCAACCTATGAAGCTGTCTGCAGCTGCTGCAGTTCAATCCCAGGCACGAGTTCAATCCCCAGGCGGGGAGCTGCCCACATGGCACAGCAGACTCTCCTGACTCGCCCGCTGCTCCCCTCACAGTGTATCTCAGTCTGCCTGTTCTGTTCCTCGCTCTGTCTCTGGTGAATCCTCTCACCCAACACACCTCTGGCCTGTACCCCAGTTCTTGCATGCGTAAATAAATAAATATTAAAAAAAAAAGTGACCTCACAGACTCAGATTAAGTTTCAAGGCAAGCCTGGGTGCCTAAACTAAGGGGTGCCGTGGCTGCAGACCTATCCCAAAGCTGTTCCCTCCCTCCTGAGTCCATCTTAGGTTCCCACCCTAAGGTGGAAAGTACAAAGTGTCAGAAAGAGAAGGAGGGCCGGGGATGGGGTAGAACGTCTAGGAAGAGAACTGCTGTTAACCTCAAGTACTGAGTTTCAGTCTCAGTTTAGCTACTGCTTGATGGAAGGTCAGAAATATGTTCTCTACCTCACTCACACACAGCTTTTCCCAGACAACTAAGCAGGGAGGTTATCTCAAAAAACTCAAGTTACTGTAAGTGATGTGTTTTGATCATGTATTAACACATTCAAGTAAGCCAGGGAGACCACAGTCAATATCTACCAAATAATCTTCTAAACAATGAGACTAACTGCTTTCTAAACCTCTTTTTATCAAAACAATTTTAAAGAAAGGCAAAAAACAAAGCTTATTGATTTGGATTTTGTTTTCTCTTATGATATTTCCTCCTTCCATATCATTCACTCCAATCTCCTCTATACTTTCACCCCATAACAGTGGAGGCATTAATGAGAACTGAAAGTGGCAGAAATCATAAGAAAGATGGAAAGAACCTGGACAAAACACAAATTGCTGTATCTGTTGCTAAAATAGAAAGTTTTCATCCAAAAATCACATTTTCATTCAGAGAGGAAAAGTCCAAATACCTGAAACTGGACAACTGTTTTTGGTAACTTCATGAGAAGATCAAATGCTAAAATTTTTACTTCTTCAAAAGTGCTGGTAAAACATTCCATCAGTGTTTGGAAACGACCAACATCAATATCATGACTCAGCTGATACACTGTTTGGACTCCATCTAAAAACAAAGATTGACAAGAGAATAAAAGGAAAGCAACATTTTTAAGTTATTTGATCAAGTTTATAGAAAATTAACATAAATATGTATACTTCATACTTTACCACAATAGCATAAGAATAATTTTTCTCTTAATTTATTTCCCAAAATGGTAATAGTACTCCAGACAGAAAATAAACATTTTTTAATTTGTTTAAAATCACTTCATTCTCATTCAAAAGGCTATATATTATATAAGATTCCTAAGTTGTTTTAAAAGACAAAAAAAACTAAATTTAGGACTATACCTTTAAAAAAATCTTTACAAAATTTCTTGACCTCTTATCACACTTCCAAACTTCAAGCTATACTACAAAGCCATAATAATTGAAACAGTTTGGTACTGGAACAAAAACAGACACACAGACCAATGGAACAGAACAGAGAGCCCAGAAATAAAGCCACACTTATATGAACAGCTAATCTTTGACAAAGGAGCAAAGAATATGCAATGGAACACAGACAGTTTGTTCAATAAATGGTGCTGGGAAAACTGGACCTCCACATGCAAGAAAATGAAACTTGACCATACCTCTTACCATGCACAAAAATCAACTCAAAATGGATAAAAGAACTGGACATAAGACCTGAAACCATAAAATATATAGAAGAAAGTACAGGTAAAACACTACAAGACATACATCTCAGAAACATCTTTAAAGACTCATCACCCAAAGCAGTGATAGTGAAGGCAAAGATAAACATCTGGAATTACATCAAACTGAAAAGCTTCTGTACAGCAAAAGAGACATTAACCAAAACAGAGAGACACCCCACTGGTTGGGAAAAATCTTTGCACTCCATTCAACTGATAAGGGACTGACCACAAAGATATACAAAGAACTCACCCGGCTCAACGAAAACAAAATAAACAATCCAGTCAAGAAATGGGCAGAAAAACTTAAAAGACATTTCTTCACACTGAGATACCACCTTACACCAGTTAAGAATGGCACATATCAAAAAAACAAGCAACAGCAAATGTTGGCGAGGATGTGGTGAAAAAGGAACTCTCCTACATTGCTGATGGGAGTGCAAACTGGTCCAACCACTACGGAAAGCTGTCTGGAGGTTGCTCAGTCTACTAAAAATGGAGCTACCATATGACCCAGCAATTCCACTACCAGGGATCTACCCAAAGGACACAAAAACATTGATTCAAAAGAACACCTGTACACCTATGTTTACGGCAGCACTATTTACAACAGATAAAACCTGGATACAATCCAAATGCCCAAAAATAGATGACTGGATCGAGAAGATGTGGTACATATACACAATGGAGTATTACTCAGCAGTTAAAAAAAAACACATGCACTTTGCAACAACATAGATGGAGCTAGAAGGGATCATGCTCAGCGAAATAAGTCAGAAAGAAAAAGAAAAATACCGGATGGTCTCACTCATAGCAGGAATTTAGAAAACCTAAATAAGGGACCAGGAAAAAGACTAATTAATACAAAGTAAAAATCAAAATTAACAAGCAACTATAAACCAGAGACACACTACGGGGCAGGTAGAGGAAGGATTAGGGTCAAAATAAGGGGGGGTGCAATTGTATGGGGAATATAACCAAAATGAAAATGCATACATTGTGCAAAAATGAAAAATGATGTAAGAATTACATAAAATAAAATATTTTTTAAAAATTTAAAAAATAGCCGCGGCCGTTCTTTCTCTTCCGGCTCAAGGCCCCTGGGGAGCCGCGGGCCTCGGTGCAGACATGGCCAAGTCCAAGAACCACACCACACACAACCAGTACCAAAAATGGCATAGAAATGGCATCAAGAAACCCCGATCCCAAAGATACGAATCTCTTAAGGGGGTAGATCCCAAGTTCCTAAGGAACATGCCCTTTGCCAAGAAGCATAACAAGAAGGGCCTGAAGAAGACGCAGGCCAACAATGCCAAGAGTGCACGTGCTGAGGCTATCAAGGCCCTTGTAAAGACCAAGATGGTCAGGGCTAACATCCCTAAGGGCAGCAGCCGCAAGCTCAGCCGACTTGCCTACATCGCTCACCCCAAGCTTGGGAAACATGCACGTGCCTGCATCACCAAGAGTCTCAGGCTTTCGCGGCCAAAGGGCAAGGCTCAAACCCAGGCCAAGGATGCGGCTGCAGCACAGGTCCCCAAAGGAACACAGGCAGCCGAAGGTGCCCAGGCCGCCAAGTGCCCAGGCCCCAGCTAAGCCTTAAGAATAGAGAACGCTGTCTGCCCGTGTGAGGACAGAAGGATTGGTGTCACCCCTAGGCTGCTGTCTACAAGGCATTGGTGTCTTCCTGTGCTATTTGTACAAATAAATCTGAAGCAGGACCTAATAAATAAATAAATAATTTTAAAAGATAAAATGAACAATGATGTTACAAAAAAAAAAAAGATAAACTCATGCCATTCACAGCAACATGGATGGAGCTAGAAGGAATTATGCTCGGTGAAATAAGCCAGAGGAAAAAGAAAAAGAATGGATGGTTTCACTTATAACAGGAATATAGGAGAACAAAATAAGACATCAGTGTAAAAAAAAAAATAGTAACAGTACAAAACACAACAAAGCAAAAACAGACAATTATAAACCAGAGACATCCTGCAGGGGAGGAGGAGGGAGAGGGATCAGAGGGAGGGAGGAGCACAGGAGACTGTGGTGATGGTGTATGGGTGCCTTGGGGAAGGAAATTCTATGGGGGTCTCTACCTGAGGGGGTGGGGGGAAGCAAATATTGTTTAAAAAATTTTTTGTAAACTCAAGCCCTACTGCATAATAGTTGAAAATAATCAGTAAGATGACATATCCTAAAGGGATTACTGGACATCAAAAATAAAGAGGAATCTTCTGGCCATAGTGGCAAAACCACCTCAATCTATACATTAGAAAAAACAAAGTTGGCTTCACTCTTCACCAGAGCAACCTGTAGTAGAGGTAGAGCTAGAATATAGTAGAGCAATGCTTATAAAATTCTCAGGGAAAGGTGTGATGAAAAATTGTCTATCAAAATCTGAATATAGCACCAGACATAAGGCAAGAAATTAAGTGAATGTACAAGAAATTAAGAAATACATTTCTCCCAAAAACTCTTCTCAAAGGAAGATGAATTTCAGCCGACCAAGAAACAAACAGAAAAAGCTATCACAAAAGAATGATAGCAGTAATGAATACGTTTAACTCTAAGATTAAGACAAAATAATTGTGGGAATAATGGGTTACATAGCAAAATGTGAAGAACATTTAATAATTTAACCCCTGAGAATAACTGAAAACATTCCTACGCTTAATTTGAAGACTGATGTTCAATATAAAGCAGGATGTTTTTTCTTATTTAATCTTAACTGACAAGTAAGTTAGTAATCCTGTGACATTCCTAGATGAAGCAAATGAAGTTTTTGGCACTTCATGCATACATCTGTTCAGTTCGCTGCTTCTTTTCTAATTTGAAGCAATTTTTTTTTCTCTAGTCTGGGCCTAACTGCTCTAGCTAAAACTTAGAAAGGTGAATGGAAGGTGAGCACTGGTGTCACTTTCCTGATCAGAAAGGAAAGGCTTTCCCCGTCTCGCATCATTCAGTATGGTATTGTGGGTTTTTCATGAATGTCTTTTTACCAAACCGAGTTCCTTTCTACTCCTACTTTGTTGGGTGTTGGTCTATCATAAAAGGGTTTTGAATTTTATTAAATGCTTCTTTTCACCAATTGAAGTGATCAGGTGTTTGCTTTTACTTTGTTCTAATATGGCATATTAGATCGACTATTTCTTATGCTGAATCTTCCTTGCATTCCCAGGATAAATGCCTTCTTGTCATGGTGTATAATACTTTTAATATGCTGCTGGATTTGGTTTGCTGGTATTTTGTGGAGAATTTTTATATCTATATCTAACTTTCATATCCATACAGGCCTATAGTTTTCTTACAATTTTTTTTTACACTTTTTTAATTGCGGCAACAATGGTTTACAATACTGTATATGATTTAGGGTAATAGTGTGAAATCTCTACAGATGTATGTTACCATAGCACACCCACCACCAAAGCACCCATAGTCCTTTACTACAAACCACTGGTCCCCTCCCCTTGACTATAGTATTAGGATGATGCTGACGTCGTTGAGTAAGTTGGGAAGTATTCCTTCCTCTCCAATTTTTTAGAAATTTGAAAAGAAGTGGTTAATTCTGTCTGCTAGTGGAGCAGGCCTGCTTTCTGCTGCTAACTTTTTGGCTGTACCAAAAAGCCAGTAAGCAGAGACAAGAATTGAATCTATAAGCACTTTTATTTATCAGATTGCTGGCCACTGTTCTGAGAAAATGGTGGGTATAACACCCTAAAGTAACTGTTCTGTCATAGCCAATGATCTGTGAGAACGGTGGGCATAGCATAGCACCCTGAAGAAACGCTTCCGCCATCTCATATTGAGCTGGCATTTTTATTATGTTACAGGAAGACAGTTGTAAGCAAATAGACCATCAGAAATAGCCTGTCACAGTTGATACTTCTGGTTATTTGTCATGTTCCACCCCCAGAAATTGTTATCAGCCTCCCAGTCATCTTGACCCTGGTACATCTGAGAGTGTCAATGTTTAGCACTCATTTGTGGCATCATCAGGGGAGGAATCTCAGTTTAACACAAGAGTCTTAATTTAAAGAAAATAGACCCTTAGTCATGTAGTGTGGACTTGCAGCCTAGGCTTGTGTATGTGCAGATTCCTGTACTAGGTATGGTGCCCTTGCCTTCTAGCCCAGCTCCCTTTTACATTGAATATCTGGTAGAACTCACCAATGAAGTCACTTCCACTGGACTTTTCTTTGTTGAAAGGCTTTGATTACTAACTACATTTCTTCTTCTTTTTAAAAGATTTATTTATTTATGCATACAAGAGCTGGGGTACAGGCCAGAGGTGTGAGGGGTAAGAGGATTCACCAGAGACAGAGTGGGGAACAGAACAGGCAGACGGACTGAAATACACTGCTGAGGGGAGCAGTGGGTGAGACAGGAGAGGTCTACTCCGCCATGTGGGTTGCTCCCTGGTTGGCTGGAGGATCGAACTCGTGCTGCAGAGGTTGTGGACAGCTTCATAGGTTGCGTCTTAATCCCCTGCGCCAACAGGGAGGCCCACTAACTACATTTCTTTCCACAAAGTGGTTATAGGTCTGTTTAAATTTTCTATTTCTTCTTGTATCAGTAATATAAAAGTTTCTAGAAAATTGTTCATTTAGGTTATCTAATTTTTTGGAAATATAATGCTTATATCAGTCTTATAATCCTTTTCATTTCTGTAAAGTCAGTAGAAATGTGCCTAGTTTCATTTCTGATTTTAGTTATTTGTGTCTCCTTTGCTATTTTCTTAGTCAGTATAGCTAAAATCTTGTCAATTGTGATCTTTTAAAAAAAAAAAACTTTTCGTTTCATTGATTCTTTGTATTGTTTTTCTATTCTCTATTTCATTTATCTCCAATCTAATCTTTATTATTTCCTTACTTGTGCTAGATTAGGGTTAATTTATTTTTCTTTTAATTTCTTGAGGTATAAATTAGGTTATTGAATTGAGATTTTTTTCCTAAGTAGGTTTAAATCTCCCTATGAGCAGTGTTTTGTAAATTTAATAAGCTGTATTTTTGTTTTCACTCCTCTCAAAATATTTTCTAATTTCCCTTGTGATTTCGAGCCGTTGGTTGTTTGAGAGCTCTGCTCAAATTGGAAGCCTTCCCATTCCGCTATATGAAATAGAACTTCCCATCCTCCCAAGTACTCCATATCTACCCCCTCCACCCCATACCCTCTCATCTACCTCACCCCCATTTTGTTGAAGCAGGTTTTCTTAGTCTTTATAATCTCTCCACATAAAATTCACTTGTTAGTTTATTGTCAATCTTCCTTTACTAAAATCTACACCCAAAAGTGGGGAGCACATTGCTTTGTACATCGCATATTCTTCACTACTGGCCATATAAGAAGCAGTAAATAAATACCTGATAAACAAACCCTTTTAATCTTATTGTAGAATCCAATTTTTCACTTAATATTGTCAAATTTTATTCCAAGGAAGAGACATGCATTTGGCTTATTCTTCTTGAATTAGGACATATTGAGAAAAAGGTAAAGCCCGTTTTTAGTAATCCCAAATCACAGTCCTTGTAATAATATAAAAATTCACTTGAGATAAAGAATAAAAATAAATGTGCATATCCCATCCTGTATTTCATGGTCATGCCTCTTCAGTTTCCTTTAAAGTTAATGGTTATAATATGGTTTGCTCCATTTGCTTTACCTCCCAGTTGTTTAATTAACATAATTACCATGACATCAATCACTGCTCAATTACATGTGACTCATTCATTAGGAAGATGACTCAGAATTTTTACTTTTAAAGTACATTTAAGTACATTAAACTACTCTTCAATTGAATAATTACCAGTATAATTCAACCTACTGTTATTTTCCTTATGAGTAGGTAAAACTAAACCTACATTAAATGAACAAGAAACTTTTTGCTAAATGGACAATCCATCACTTGCAGATAAAACTGTATAATCTATATTCAATTGTAGTAAATTCCCTAAGCTGATGGATATCTCTGTATTTATGTTCTATGGATGCTTTAACAAATCACCGCAAATTTGGTGGCTTAAAAAAAAAATCACAGTAATATAATGCAAAGTGATGTAAATCAGTATTAACTCAATAAAAAATATTTTTTATAAGAACACAGTAATACATCTCTCACAGTACTGGAAGCCAGAAGTTCCAAATCAAGATGTTGGTAGAGCCAGGCTCACTCTAGAGGATCACTGGGAGAATTCAATACGTGTCTTCCGGCTTCTGGTTGCTGCCAAGATTCCAGGTTTATAGCATAATCACTCAGACCTCCACCTCCACTGAGACAAGGATTCCTTCCCGCTTCTGTGTTAGGCCTCCCTGTGCCTCTCTAACTTATAACACTGGCAGTGGCATTTAGGCCCACCCAGGTAATCCAAGATTATTCCATTTTAAAACCTTTAACTTAATCACATCTGCAAAAACCACCTTTTCCAAATAAGGTTGTAAGCATTCAGAGGTATACATCATTTGGCATCTAAGAATTTAAAGATATGAGTTTTGAGGATTTGATGTGGAAATCTTTTATGGTCATTTTTCAGCTTACCATAGCTACCTTAATCAGGTAATCAAACTTGTCATAATCAGTAATGGGACAAACCAGCATT